CCTTATCAAAAAAATTATTTTTTGCCTCCCCCCCCCCCCCCCCCCGACCATGCACCCTTCCCAGACCGATTCATATCCTACAACACGAAGAATGAATACTTTCAAACAAAAGATATTTAAATTAGCTTTTATTTGATACTCATATCGATATTTTGTGTTGATAAAAATATTCCTGACCCCCCAAGACCTAGACCCGCCCGGTATGAGTGATTATTATTATTATAATGGAAAAAATTTTAATTACCTTTTATTTGATACCCTTATCAAAAAAAAATTATTTTTTTGCCCCTCCCAACCATGCACCCTCCCAGACCAAGTCATACCCATCAGCACCAAGAATGAATACTTTCAATCAAAAGATATTTAAATTAGCTTTTATTTGATACCCACATCGATTAAAAATATTCCTGACCCCCAGACCTAAACGCGCCCTCTATGAGTGATTATATTATTACAATAAAAAAATATCTTAAATACCTTTTATTTGATAGCCATATATCAAAAAAAATTATTTTTTGCCACTCCACCCCCCCCCCTCCAGACTAATTCATACCTATAAACACCAAGAATAAATACTTTCAATCAAAACATATTAAAATTAGCTTTTATTTGATACCCATATCGATATTTTATTGTGTTGATAAAAATATTCCTGATCCCCCAAGACCTGACCCGACCTCCATGAGTGATTATTATTATGACAATATTTTAATTACCTTTTATTTGATACCCATATCAATATAAATTATTTTTTGCCCCCACCCTATATGCATCCCCCCCCCCCAGACCACATACCAATCAAGACCAAGAATAGACTTTCAATCAAAAGATATTATTTGATGCCCATATCGATATTTTGTTTCGATAAAAATATTCCTCACCCCCCCCCCCCCCAGACCTAAACTCGCCCAATAAGGGGGAGAGATTCACCTCCAGTTGAATAGCTCTTTTAGTTAGCTATCGATTGATACCCTATATTAGACATAATCTTATTTCATAAGGCCAAAAAAATAACATTAAAAATAAATAATAAATTTTTTAAAAAAATAAAGAAAACGCGAGTAAAAAGCGTTTTAAATTAAGATTCTTCTATATCATGGTTCAAACGTGATAATACAGTATAGTTCTTTATCCTTTAAAAAATTGAATTCTTAAAGAAATCCCTTTAAAACTCGTGATGATCTCGGATAGTTCTGTCTGATCCCTTTAAAAATTGCCATATTATATATAGGTGAAAATAATCTAATCGTGATGCATTATTTTTTTATGTAAACTAGGACGAAATTTTTTTTTTACTTACTACTGAAAATCAATAAATCATTTGCGACTAGATTTTACTAACTCCATATACCATCGACCGTGACAACCTCCGATTGGGAAAATTTAAATCTGCTATAATCCAGCGTTGCGGCGAATGCCGTTCCTTATATATTTTTTATAATTTAATTTGAGACTTAAATCCGCACTAATCCTGCGGTGCGGCGAATGCCGTTCCTTAATGATCAATGTAATTTTGGACTTAAATCCGCTCTAATCCTGCGTTGCAGAGCACTCCGTTCCACGTATTTTTTTGAGTTAACTTAAGTTTTAAATCCGCACTGATCCTGCGGTGCGGCAAAAGCCCTTTCATTTCATTTTCACATTTTATAAGGGCGAAATCTGCATCGAACCTGAGGGGCGGCTGCTGCCGTCACGGTTATGTAAACGACCCACTAAGGGACTGCCGTCGCCTTAATGAATTAGCGATGTTACTTACCCCTTTTCTTTTAGTATTTAGTACGATGTCCAAAATGCCCACAAAATCGGGTCCCCCTGTCACCTTCTCCGAAAGTGCAGACCCATCGAACTCAGTCGATCCCTATCCCTCCCCGACGGTTGAATGTTTACGGTCACTGCTCCTATATTTCAATAAGATTAGCTAATTCTAGATTTTAATTTAATCTTTTATATGCAATGATTAAGGTAAAATTACATTCCAGTCCTTTATAGGCTTAATGAAATTTATTTATTCTTATCCTGGGATTTCTCACTAATTGAAATAATATCATATTCAAGTTAATAAATTTTAAGTATGAAATGAATATTTTATTATTAATTTAGTATTGTGAATAATGATTCTATTTTAAATGATGAGAACATTATTACAATGATAATCTATATACAAGTTAATAATTTTTAAGTATGAAATGAACATTTTATTATTAATTTAATATTGTGAATAATAATATTATTTTAAATGATGAGAACATTATCACATTGAGAATCTAAAAACAAGTTAATAAATTTTAAGTATGAAATGAACATTTTATTATTAATATAGTATTGTGAATAATATTATTTTAAATAATGAGAACATTATCACAATGATCTCATTGTGATAATCCTATTCCTCACCATTTAAACTTTTGTTATAAATCATTTAATTTATATATTATCATGCATTTTATTTAGGTTACAGAATTGACCTATCAAGTGGCAGTATAATATAAAAAAAATTGGAGTAAATTTAAAATGGCGGACGATGATTGGTTCTCTGGTTTTATAAAAGAAATTTATAATTCTCTATACGATCTCCAGAAGCTACAAGCTTGGCTAGGGCCTCTAGTTTTAATAAAACTAGTGTGGATTTATTTTTTAGCCTTAACAAAGATATTCTTGATAAATATAAGCTATCATCATCAGCATTATACAATATGGATGATTAACAAATATACAAAATCCCTGTAAAATAATAACTCAGAAAGGTCAAAAGCAAGTTGCGTTATGACATCTGCTGAAAGAGGAACTCTAATAACCATTCTGCAGGAAATTACATAACGCCTGTGTTCCTTTTCCCAAGGAAAAAGTTCTTTGATCATAATATAAGAGATAGACCTAATGGTTGTATAGGCCGCTCAAATGGATCAGGTTGGATGCAAGAAAGGTAATTTATGGATTATTTAGAATATAGGATCATGTGAGGCCACTACCTAAAAGTCTGTGTGATTCTAGACAATCATAGTTTGCACCAATTTCTTGGTGCTATTGATTTTTGCTTAAAACCTGGCAGTATGCTATCCTTACCTCCATATACCACTTATAAAATGCAACCCCTTTACAGTTGCATTTTTGGGCGATTAAAAAAATATTTTAATAACTTCGTAGGCTAATGGATGCGCAGCAAATCAAATAAAATATTTAGTATTTATGACATTCCAAAAGTAGTAAAAGATATATTAATCTCCCTAACTATTAAAAACATTATTAATTCATTTGAGGTAACGGGCATATATCCTTATAGATATATTTGAAGAAATGAATTATTTACCCATAATTTTTAAAGAAAATAGTCAGACAACATTAGAAAAATCAACATCTGAACCATTAAATATTTCGAACCCTGTAAATTTAGAAAATAATACCTTACCAGCCTCGGAGCCACAACTTCTCAATATTATAAAGATATAAGTCAATATAAAGAAGATAATTTATTTGATATTGAGAATATATCCACTTCCTGAATTATTGAGAATAATATAGACAACAAAAGAAGGAAAAAATCTGAAATATTTACATTTTCCCCTATAAGAAGATCCTATTAACAAAATAAAAAAAGTAGAGACAAAATCTCAAAAAACTTATATTACCTCTGGGTAATAACACAGGAAATGAAAAGAAGTCCAGATTAACTAAAAATATAATAAAAATATTTGCATTATTTATCACAAAAAATATTAAAAAAATTATAAAAAGGAAGATTGGTACCAATGCATGGGTTGTGGCACACGAAAGTTGTGCCAAATTTAATAATTTTTTATGTGCAATAAATATAATTAAATACCTATCTTTCACTATGTTTATGTTAAAAAAAAAATTTTTTTTTACCAAAATAAATTTCCTAAATTTTGCTTTTTTTAGTTATTGTGGTTATGAATTACTATATTATCAATAAAATCAAATGTGTTATAGTCTCTAGATTTACTGGATTACTGATTTTAAATTTATTTAAACCTCTATTTTATGATTGTCCCAAACAGAGTCTGTCTATGTTAGGACAAAAAAATTTTTTTTTAAATCCAATTTTCTAAAAAAATATAGTCTTTATAAAATATATTTTAATTATTTCAAATAGCCATACTTTTGGGATTCAGAAGATGTTTTACTTATTTTTTGACTTTTACATGAGCCTTAATCTATATCATAAGTAAAATTGGAAGACAAATATTTTACATTGAAATTGTCTAAAATTAGATATTGTTAATGATATATAAGTCTATTAATTTTAAAATTATTAAGATTTAAACGAAGAATGTTCCAACCATCCCAGGTATCCCCTAATGTTTCTAAAAATTATTATTTATAATGTTAAAAATTTTAATGGGGTAGGAATTTTAAAATCTTGGGAAATTTACAGTAAGTTTTGTCTTTTTGATAGTCTCACGCAATTTGGAGGGGGGGGGGGGCAAAAAACAATGAATCAGACTCACGCCGATTTAAAAAATGGCGAGCCAAATTTTGAGCCGATTTTTAAATAATAATGCTAATATTATAATTTAATATTAAAGGATAATTTTGAGTTTTATCTTAAGCAGGTGGCCAGGGGGGGGGGTATTATTAGGGTAATGCTGTATAGCGTTGAATTATTGATTTATTTATGTGTTGTAGTTAAAATATTAGATGGTGTCATAATTTATCTATATATTTTTAAAAAAATTGTTTTCGAAAAGTGTTGTGACCGAGTTGATGAATGCGTATATCATCCACCGCATAGATACGGATGATAAATCCAGCAATAACCAGTCAGAAGTCGAAACTCTTAACTCGGCTTAAAAGGAGTAATTAATTTTTTTTTGTGGGGTAAAAATTTGTTTGAGTCAACTCAAAAATTGGATAGAGTTTAAGGAGCCATTTTAACGACTTTGAACTCGAATCGGAGTGGCGAAAAGTCACCTTTTAACAACTCTAGTCATAACTTAAAACTTACTAAGAAAATTTATTGGAAAAATTATAAATGACTTTACTTTTAATATTTTTTTAAGTTTTATTATAGTTTGTTCTTTAACCATTATTTTTCGTAAGATATGGGTAAAATCTTGATTCACGTTATTTTTGTGCAACTCTTTCATTATATTGTCTAATAAAAATGATATAATAAATTGTCGTATTAAAATATCATTACCGTCAGAACTGGTTTCTTCCTGAAAATATGTCCTTAGCAAATAAGATAGTATAAATAACAAGCATTCTAAATTATCTATATATATTAAAAATAAAAACATATATTTATAATTTAATAACTTATTGAAGTGATAAATCTTTCATCTAGTTGATTATATTTCGGTATAGCTAGTTTTCTAAATATGATAGACTTTTCTTTACTGGAACTATATAGTTTGGATAATCCAAATAACTCGATCAAAGTCTATTTATAGTCAAATTAAACAAAATACTTTATACTTTAAAATCAGATACCGCCAGATATTTTTAAATTGGCCCATCCAATCCGATATAAAATGATGGGGATAAAGAGTTATTTATACGATATAATTTAGTTATTATTAAAATGAGATCGGTTGTCAGCCATCAGTCTATATTAACTTCATATCGGTAATATAGGATGTTAATAAAGGTATTGCGATTATGTCTAAATCATCTTTTTTAATTTCCCACGATGAGCATGAGAAAAAAAGATTGATTTTAAGGGTATTCTCAAAAAAAAATGCAAATTAAAATGACCATTATTTGTAATTTATATAGGAATGAGAAAATTAAACTTGATCCAAATTTTTCATATTTTGATCGATTAAATTTGATTGCAGACGGTCCTGCTCATTTTGAATTAACAACAATTTATCGCATAAAAAGGGTAGCAATTTGAGAAATATAGAAATATCAAACAAATCTAAATGATCTTTAGAATAATTTAAGGCATAGATAAATTACAAAATTGGGACATTTTGAAATCGACCAAATTGCATTTCAAGAGTGAGGTAAATGTTTGTGATTTACATATGGTTTGATCTATTAAAAAAATAATTTTAAATGATGTAAAAAACATTATTACAAAAAAACAGGATATTAAATGTGACTCGATTTAAAAAAGAATCAGCACTGTGGATAATTTCATTTCGGTTTTGAGTAAGTAAAATTGTGAGATCAATATTAACGTCAGTCTTAAATTTGTATATAAAAAAAATAAAGTTATTACTTAGTAATTTTATATTTATTCAATAATAACTTAAAAATAAAATATCTTAATTACTTTATTTGTATAATTAATGTAACCGAAAAATTGAAATCAATTTATCTATCTTTATATAAACTGGTTATTCGTGTTGGGACTCTCTTAATAATAATCTTTAAAAAAAAATATAATATTGTAATATAAAATTACATTAAAATCATTCAGTGAATTAAACTGAGGGAGATTAAAATTAACGATGTGATAGTTCAATATTTTATTCATGGAAGTCAAGGAATGATCGTAAAAATCTCTGATATTCAAAAATTTTGATTTTGAAGTTTGTATTAATCCTTTAATAGCTATTGATATTTCTTCTGGAGAAGTTACTTCAGTAAAAAAAAGTAACAAAATGTATCATTATAAATAAAGAAAAATTGAAAATATAATAGCTTTTCAACATATATATATATATGTATCAAAAAAAGAAATTTACTATTAATGCTATAAAATTATAAATGTATAGAATTCACGTGCAAAGGATTACAACAAATTTAATATATTTTATTACCATTCAATATAGCTATACAGAGTGAAATAATGAATGTTATTAATTCCAATTCAATTATAGTTGAATCAACAGCTAATTTTTCATTTTTTAGCAATAATTTATCTTTGTTAGAATTGATGTTAAATGTCAACGAATTTCGGTGATTCATCCAAAAATCTACTACCTTAATTTTTTTATATTTTCAAAAATTATAAATTATAAATTAAAATTTAATAAATATAATGATATATTATAAGGTATAAATTATAAGGAAAAATAACAACAAATGAGTAAACTATTCATTGCAAAAATCAAACATTTATTAAAACAAAGGGTAGGAAGAGTTGCTAATATATTAATGGTAAACAAAATGCAATTCATTGTAAATAATATAAGAATAATATCTAGCCAAATACTCTTAGTTTTAAAAGGGATCAGGGGTAGACCTAAGAAATCTGTAGAACGACTTGAAGCTCACTTTATTGTGTTTTAAGTCAAAATTTAATGGTGCCTCTAAAATTAACTCAGCAAATATAAGCAGTAGTATAAGCAAAATAAAATTAACTTCACGCCATAAAGAGGATAGAAGAACAAATTATATAAATTAATATGCCATTATAATTATTAATTTGCGATTCAAAAAAATAGACTACAAATAAAATAGAATTTATATATTTTAAACTTTATCATTAAATTGACAATAATTTTATTTCGCCAAATCCTAACTGCCTATTTAATTATTTATTTTATAAACTGCAAAATATTTTATATCTCATTATTCTAATTATTTCTTAAGTTCGAAAACAAAAATGTTTATTATTTTTTTACTTAAAAATACATATAAATCAATTATTTTCTCGAGTTGGGGGCTAGGAAAATATTTTAGTTATAATTTTATTAATTATTAGATTATTTCTTATATTTTTATTATCGGATCAGGTCGGGAATTTGGAATTAATTTTATGTCGGGTTGTGAATATTTCTTTGAGCATATGATAGGAATGCGTTATTTTAAAGGTAAGAGAATATTTGAAATACCAATTAATTAGCCTATCATTTACAAAAATCAATAAAATTTTAAATTAAAAGGTTTTAATATGAAAGGAGAATTATACAGCGCGATAAAAAAATTTGACTGAAAAAGATCAAGCTATAAAAGGATATAAAAGTTTGTAAATACTTGTAGACACGTTTTCATATTGTGTTGAACTATCATATTTGAACACAACAAGACTTTAATCAACTTAAAAGTTGGTATCAGAATAAAATCAGTAAATTTCGATTCAGCATCTGGGATATTGTAAGAGGTAGATAATATCTTGGATCTATAAAAAAATAGGCAAATTTACTTAATTTATAAATGATGTAGTAACAGGTAAGTTATTATTCTGTGATGGAAAATAGAATTTGTACATAAAATATTATATGAATTCTAAAAATAAAAAAACTAATGTTAGAAAATATTCCAGAGATGCACCGATACTCACCGTGTAGGTACATTCAGTTTCAACTAGGGATGTATTATTTTTTACTGAATCGGATCGGTCCGATATTTCACCCATTTTAAAATATCGGTTATCGGCCAATATTATAAAATTTCCCGATCCGATATAAAATGTCGTCTTTAACAAAAATAAAATGTTATAAAATTTTTAAAAAAATTTATATAAATCATTTATTTTTATAAATAAAATCGAAATCCATTTTTATGTATATATTTTTTAATAATAATAATTAATTAATAAACATTCTGCCATATTGTTATTTTTTTGCGCATTCTGTTTATAAAGTGTGCGATAATCTCTTTAGAATCTGTTTTTAGTGAAGCATGCTACACGTTTACAGGTCTATCAATGGCAAGGAATATGTAGATGATGACGGAAAACGATTTATATTAAAAGCGAAAATGTATCAAAGATACGTTAAAAAATTGCCTACTTGAATGCCCTATATACTCAAGCTAACAGAATTTACTAACCCGAGAAATGGATTGACGACAAGATTATAAAACCTGTAGAGGAAGTACGCTGGGCAAGTCCACTTACTCCAAAAGCACGGTAAATCCTGTTTTGGAGGACTAAGTACCCGATTCCATGGATAAACACCTAATATCAAAATTATCAAAAGGAAAAAAATTCACCAAAATAGATTTTAAAGAGGCCTTCTTGCAAATTCCGATCGACATTTTCCGTCATCATCTACATATTCCTTGCCATTGATAGACATGTAAACGTGTAGCATGTCTTCTATATTATCATAATATACACGTGCGATCGTCCTTGATTTGTGTCGTACGTAAGTGTAATCATCGTTGATTGCATCATAAAATCGTCTAATAGTATACTTTGATGGTAATTTTATAACTAAAAGGTAGTTCTTTTCTGCCACCATATTATTTTATCTTCATTATCTTCTTTTATCTCTATATCGACAGTGTTTACGTTGTTAGAATATCTGAGTTGATTATTATTATTGTTTTGATTTCTATTATTATATGATTGGTTGTAACTTTGATTATTGTTATCTCGAGGTGTGTATCGTGATTCATTTTGTTGTCTGTTAAATCTATTATTATAATCACTATAGTATCGATTATCATTATTATTATTTCTATTATTGAATCTCGAATTAAAGTTGTTTCGATATCTATAGTTGTTTTGGTATCGCGGGTTGAAATTTTGTTGTCTTGGGTAGTAATTGTTTTGATACCTTGGGTTATAGTTGTTCCCTTGATAGTTATTCCCTTGATAAATGTTCCCTTGATAGTTGTTCCCTTGATAGTTGTCTGCCACCATATTATTTTATGGAAGGCATTGCAAACAAGGTACGAGTAAAACAAACTTTTATTGAAAAATTTATATATCTGTTTTTTACAAAAATATATTACACTTTATACATTTTCAGTAATCAGTTTTTGTAACTATTCACAAAATAAAATGATACAAAAATAAGGTTTTTAGTATGTTAAATAAGAAAAGACAATTTTAAACTCTTTAACATATTAAAATAGAAAAGACAATTTTTAAAAGGTATTTTGATGAATATCATATAATATAAAAACCTTCAAAAAATATAAATATAATATGACATGTAAATTAGTCATATTCAACAGGATCAATAATAGGCCGATATCAATTTAATATCGGATCGGCCTCCAAAAAGTGGTATCGGTACACCCCGAATTATAATAAATTAAAATGACATAAGTTATGGTATAGTTAAATTATAGATGTTATACTAATAAAAAGTATATAAAAAATTAAAACCATTGGTATCTTTACAGAATACAAAATTAGATATGATATCGAATAGGTAATCGGCCGATATCAATTTAATATCGGGAATATCGGATCGGTCTCCAAAAAATGGTATCAGTACACCTCTAGTTTCAACATATACCAGTTCCCAGCGTCTTCCGCACCCTCTTAAGCCACTTACAAGACCATTAAAAAACGTATTGCAAAAAAAGGAGATAAATATATGAATCAAAAAGTAGATTAATTGCAAATGTAGTATTATAAAATAAATTTTATTTCATCGTGAATAAATGAATAGTATTAAATTATAAGTATCAGAATCCCCCTATAAGGGGCACAATGGGGGTTCAATACTCTACAAAAATTTTATTCCCCCACTGCCTGAGAATTCAAATGGCCCTGCGTCTGATCCTCAACGTGAAAAATAATAAGTAATCTTCATAAATTTAAAAGTATATTTTTTTGAAAAGTATTATTCCGCGAATGATAGTTATATCCTAATAAATCTGTAGTATATAATGAAAGAAAGTACATAAAATTATCTTGTATTTCATATTCAGAGATGCACATATAATTGATATTGATTGGCGGGTGCATTTCTGTTTATATTTATAAAATATATAATGAGACATCGTTATTCATAAATAGTCTACAAAAATGAGTGACAAAAATTTACAAAATAAAAACAACTCCATTATAAAAAAAATTCAAATTTAAATATCCAAATATCAGTTAAGTTATAATTTGTATTCAATATTAATTAAAATTTATATTTTCACATAGCTTATATCATCCTTTACATTTAATATAAATCAGATATTCAGTAGCGCCGAGTTTCAGACCGTTAACACTGATAAAAAAACATACAAAATAACTAAAATAAATTTCATTTTGAATTTATCAATTAAAAAAAAATATATAAAGTGGAGACCAGTGATAGTATTATCCCAGGGCAGGAAATTTCTCAAATAATTTTAAAACTCTTAAAATTTACACCATAAATATATTTTAGCTTTAATGGTTCTAAAAATGTTTCGCAGAAATATGCTAATGAAAAGTTAATAAAAAATATTGATGAATTATAATATCTATCTTTTTTTTCAATAAATATACTAAATTATTTTTTGGATATCGGTCGATGCCATTAGCATCGAAGGTATTATCGGCTAAAAAAAGTGGCATCGATAAATCTGGGAAATATTCTAAATCTTAAGTGGAACATTACATAAATACAAAGTAAAAAATAAGGTATATCTTTTATAGAGGTCTGCAAATAGCAAAATTTTCAAGCCCAGCCTGGCCCAATTGGAATTTAGATTTTGTCTAGCCTGGCCAAATTTGCATCCAGCCTGGCCGGTTTTTTTAAATACAAGACCTAACCCTAAATATATGTAGCTTAGCACCAAAATAAAAATATATATATATATTAGGGAATGGTTAAATTTAAAGCACTACAATTTATGGGTTATCATTTCTATCAAATCATCAATAATCCAGCCCAATAATTTTTATGCCCGGCCTGGCCAGAATAAAAAAAAATTCAAACGTTGCCCGGCCTGGGCATTGCAGACTTCTAATATTTAACTAGTAATTAATATTAAAAAATAGTACTCGTTTCCGAACAAGGACAATTCATATCTAACGTCAAATATCTTCATATCTCTCAGTTTTAATATGAAATTTGATTCTATTAATGTATTTGCACCAAATTTGGTGGAAGCAAAATTTTCCAATAATGCCTAAAATTATAAAGTAAAGGTAAATAATTCTATAAATAATTATTCACCATCCTAGTTTTGTATAGGTGCAATGATATAATATCCTTAGGTGTTATTTCACAAACACAGCTTATAAGAGTGGCATCTAAATTATCGAAAAACTCTGTGCTATTCAAAGTTTTATCTTGTTTACGGTAAGATGAAGTGATATTGATTAAATCCTGCAAATATCCGCTTTGATAAAATTTTGACATCCATTTGCCACTGACAAATATTTGTTGATCATAAGAGTTATTATGAACTGAAGGATGCAAAGTTTCAAGTTTGCATATATTCCTCAAGATATTAAGCGCCATTATCTTAAGTTTTTATAACCAAAATATTTATTTATAATTAATAATTATGCCTTATAAATTAAATGAAACATTCAAATTAAATATAGTAGTTCAAGGAAACTTGTATTAAATCGCCATTTTTGTTGCAAGCATCTCGTGATATGATAACAAAAAAATTAGAAGTTAAATGGGTATTCAATATTTTAAGGGTGTATTCAAGATAGCGCTCAGTTGAATTATAGACATCGTGCAATGAAGTAGCTGAAAAAACTTTTTAGTTTATAAAATGCAAAAAAAAAAATATAAGAATATATAAAAGTGTGAGGAAATGATGGGAATGGTAAAAAAACGGGTATTCAAAGGAAGAGATAAAGTTAAGGGATGGAAAGTCTTGGCCACTTTTAGGCAGATCGGATTTTAAATGGATTGGTAACACATTAAAAAAGTACGCTTAAACCTTTTACATAAGAATAGTCGAGAGCTTTATTTAAAATTGAACAATGATTATGAGGGTGCTAAAGAATTAGATTATTATACAGTGGGGTCTATCAGCAGAATTTAATTTTTTGAGGAATTGAAGAATTTCAACCAATACTATCGTCGGTCTTAAATACCGTTAGGTTTTTGTCGATGGGGTGTCGTGCGATTTCTGCGTGAGTGGAAAATGATGGTCCAAGTTGGTGTGAAGATTAAGACTGCCAGACCTTTATTTGAAATTTAATTCAACTCCATATTTTTATAAATGCAAGGATGGTCAAAGTATATTGAGACAATAAGCATTTCAAACAGTCAGGACCTTAGTAATAATGAGTCAGGGGTTGATAAATGCCCATGTGTATTTCAACAACTAGATGCGTTTATTGAGCAAAAGCTTATTCCCAAAATATCATCATGGGAGAAAAATTAAAATTATTAATTTCCAATGATTGTAACTAAATATTTTCTTTTTTAAATTTAAATAAAACCAATTTTAATGTTTTCCTACATAATTCCATTCCATGAAAATGAATTTAAAAAAAATATAAAGAAAAGTTTAAATATTTTTTTAAAAAATTATTAATGAAAAAACGCAATTTTGTGCATACGAATCCGATTTTAAATTAAGAATGTAGAATAATTATGTATTTTATCTTTTAGATTAATATTTTAATTTGGTTTTATTTGATATATTATATCTAATATAGAATTGGCTGCCATGATCAGAGATAAAGCATTTTTTCCTTATATTTCTAAAAATTATAGGTTATAATTATACACATTATTAATAACTTCTCAGTTTTTTTATTAAAAAAAAGAAAAACTCGATTATATATATCCGCCCTGCAAAAACGCTAATACATTTTTAATGGAAGGAAAGCTTGAGGGGAAGGTATATTAAAATATTGCTAAATTTAAGGGAGAGATGAAAAACATTAAAAAGTATTAATGATATAGATAGATGGTTTTAAATTGGCAGCTGGGAACACTAGGTTTTTGTTACTATTATTGGATCTTATCGTTTTAATGTCTAGTAATGTTTCAATATCTAGTCCCTTGTATCGTTTTAATTTCTAGTCCCTTGAGAAATATTGAAATCTCTTAGCTCGTGAAGCTAAAAAAAAGCCTAAAATATTGGGCCTTGAAATATATAAATATTTAAACATTATTCACATATAACCTTTAAAAATCGACTGGAATAAATGTATGGGTCTGGGAAGCAATGAGTGCTACATAGTGAAACCCTCGACCTGCGAGTGTAATGTATAGTTTTTCAAGGTTGATTAAGGGATAAATAGGAGTGATGTGGTAAAAAAAAATATTGAGATGTAAGATAAATTGAAATGAAATTGTGATAGAAAATTAATGATTGAATCATGAAGGTGGGAAGGAAAGTAAATTTAACTATTTCTTGATTTTGTAGAATAAATAACGATATTTTTGTCGAAATAAGATGATGAAAAAGCTTAAAAAAGTCAAATTTAATAAAAATTATTTTTAATACTTAGAAAAATGTCTTGATTCAAAGGCATAAGGTTGCATTCAATAGCCATATCAAATAATGTTAACAAACATCCATATAAATTAAGCCGGCATTTTGTTGAAGAAAAATCTAAATAATTAAAAAGATTGATTTTATAAACATATATAAAATATTGTTAGTTTTGTTCTGGTGGATTATGTTAAAAAAGCGGCTGAGTCTGAAATATAATTTAGCTATACTTGTTCTTCTCAAAAATATCCTTGTTTTAATATCGATTATGTTACAGGCAATGTGCGCAATCGGCAATATGTGTAGTGTCTAATTGTTTGAAATTTAGAGGGTAAGTATTTTACACATGCTATAACACATATCGGTCAAAATAAGATTCTAAAAACTTGCCAAATAAATTATTAAAAGTTGGAAAATAGCAAAATCATTTGTTGAGCGCGTTTATTAAATTTGATCTGTTTTACCGAAAATGTATTCCAGTATGTGTAAAATACCATTTTCAACCATATTGATTGAAATAATAGCACATTTCTGGTAACATAATACATATCAAAATTCAGTAAAAAAACAAAATACAAAACATATTAAAAGACCCAAATAGGGTTGATGTGGAAAAACTTCCAAATAAAGGAAAAAAACTATAAGTTTAGAAGAAAATTAAAATAAATTAATTATAAAATTTTATACGATTAGACATTAACTATATATGAGGATTGATTAAATATATTATACTACACTGAAAATAATTGTAAAAAATAAAACATCAAAATTAAGCTAGGAAGAGGAACTGGTCGAAAGAATGCCATTAGAATGCCCGCCCCCCCCATCCCCCAAATCCTTAATTTCATAAGGAGTAATAAATGTTAACGTAAAATGTTATCTCTCATAAGGAGCCTGTTATCAAGTCTAGAACTATCAAAAATCGACTAAAACATAAACTCGTTTAGGCATCTCTTGTCAACGTTTTAATAAAAAGAAGCACCTAAATTTAACTATTAGACTATATTTTAATCAAGAGAAGAATAAAATATCGTATATATTTTGTAATAAATATTCGATAGTTTATTCCAAAAATATAAAATATTTTACTTTAACTCTATATCGGAAACCCTATTTAGGAAAATTTTGCATAAAGAAAATGTTAACGATTACATTTTTTTAATGCTTAATTAAACAATGGTCATTTATTTTGGGTGTTAGCGGTTATAAATATAGTTAAATTTTTTTTACTAAAAAAATATCTAGTTACGTTTCTAAATATACATTTTTTAAATGTTTTGATTACGATTCCTAAGATTTAACAAAGTGGGTTCTATTTATTTCATGGACAAGGGCATAATTTTTTGAAAATCACAAAACATTTTAAACAATATTATATAAATCAAAATTGCTTGTTCACCTTCCTGAAAATTTTAAAAATGAGTTCTGGTTTTTATAAATTTTAAAAGAAGGTTTCCGTTTATAGTTATAATTCCGAACTAATTTTACAACGATAGACAAGTCTTAAAAATTATGGTGAATGTGATGGATACATATTGCGTTAAGAAACAATATAGAATTTAAATCGAATCGTAAGGACCACTTAGGCTATGGGTTCAACATAACAAGGATGACCCTGACCATACTATTCTCAGTATAGAATTTTCAATTAATTTTAATGTTAACAATGTTTGATTATTTTAATTTATTAATCTTTTGATTGAATATTTTAAATATATATTAAAAATGATCTTTATAGGATTTTATTTTTTATATACCAAAAAGAAATTTTAATTGAAACTTATATGCATACATAAAAATATTTTTATCTGAAATTAGAAACTAATAATTATTTAAAATACAGATAAAAAAAGAGAATTAATTTATATCATGATTTTTATTCAAAAAATCATTGATTTAATCAGGCCAACTCTACTCTAAATGTGACTATTATAAATGGGCACAAATTAAATATTAATAATATTAAAAAAATATTTATTAGTCAAATCAATAAATTCTACAGAAACATGTTTGTTAGATAAAGAATTTTACTTCAGGGCCTATTTTTTTAAAATAATTCTTTGCTCTAATATTTGAATTAAATATTGAAAAATCACAATTTAATAAAATAAATCTCATTATTTTTGCATAAATTATAGAATAATACTTGGTTCAATGATGAGTTCAATAGTTCCTTCTAATAATTGAGAAAATAAAAAAGCCATATCGGAATCAAAACGATTTGTTTCGCCTAAGACTTTTGATTCAGTAGAACTTATAAGTAATTCAATATTCCCTGCATATTTCGTGTTTGATATGGTGAGCAAATTTTTAATTTCTCTTATTTGACTAATGACACTATTTTTTAAGAAAGTTGTACAACTGAATAGAATATCCGCTATATTAGGAGTTAAATTCTGGCATACATTCTGTAGGCAACCCTTAATATTATAATTTTTGATAAATATAATTTGTATCATAATTGAAAATATTTTAATACGGATAAGATACTTAATATTGGACAATGTATTATAATTATAATACTTTTTTAATAAGATACAGCGATAATTGGCAATATATTTTTAGACATTCATTGAAATTTAAGTCGGTTCTTTGGGACCATATAAAAATAGGTTGTTGGATAATTGTTATCATTAATTTTATCACATTTTTCAAAGATCCCAAATAAATATTTTTGGAATAACGCAAGTATTTCATTATATTCGTCCGCTGAATGTGATCGAGAACAAATTTTATACACTAAAAATTAAAACAATATAAATTATAAATCATATTAGTTGTATAAATAGGTTTAATTAGTAATAGCAGCTTTTAAAACCGAAGGTCCAAAATTATCCGATAAATAAATTCAAAAAATATTAGAGCCCACGTCTCTTGAAGGGATCTGGAAACCATAATGGAATAATATTCTTCGAAATGTTTCAGAATAATTCCCATGATTAAGGCTTATCTGGATTTCATCATGCTCTGCAGGGAAATACTTTTCTATACATATAAAAATATGAATCGGATAATGCAGGGGCTTCATTAGGTACTCAAAAATGTTTTTTGAATTATTATCAAAATGATGGTTTTTTAGTTTGGAAATGTTCCTTTATCAAAAAAAAATCAGGCATAGAAAAAATATACATCGTGGTAAAATTCTATCTCATAATTTTCAAAAATTTAAGGGGCTTGACACCCCACCCCCTCACCTTGACGCTTTACTTTAACGATGCCATTATGTTTAATATATTATAATTATAAGCAAATAATACTATATAATAATCAAACTTTCTCAGAGACATCAGTGGTTAAATTTTTAGTGACATTTTCAAAATAATTATAACTATATTTTAGGACTGCCTTTTCGTCAAAATATGTGATTCCCCATACATCTGAAATTGAACAATGCTTTTCTAAATATAATAAATTAAGAAGTTATATGAAATAAACTATATGGCATTAATTATATAATAAATAGCTACAAAAAATCAAGTCCAATAACAAATATTTGTATTCGATTTGAAATGTAGAATTGTTGATTTTAAAGAAAACTGAATTTTTGGGGGTATTTATTTAAATAAAAATGATAAAGATTAAACATTTTATTAAATAATAATTAAAATTATAATAAAAATTTACAAAAAACTGATTTTTTCATAAAAGACATATAGTTTCCCTAATTGTTTTTTTTCTTATAGAGCTATGCGATTTTGGTATTTGTGCCTATAAAAATAAATGGTCACACGATGTAAAAAAACCCTATTATTTTATCTCCTTTTCATTATATAATCTAACCATTTACAAATATTATTTTAATTTTAAACAAATGAATATTACAATCAATAATGCAAATGCCCCAAAAATAAATACTTGATTACAGTGGCTTTAACTTAGAAAATGTTTAATTAAATTGCAGATACTTATTATAATATTATAGAGTAATTCGAACATTCAAAATTTTCGAAAATATATGAATAATTTTAATTTCTTTCGTAAAAATCATTATTCATATTTGCAAATTTAGTATGAATCGAATAATTTGATAGGCCTATTTATACATTAAAGAATTATAATTTACAAGAGTCTTAGTTAAGGTTAATATAATGATACATATTATAATTAAACCTAACAATATTTTAAACTGATTGAAATCAATGGTATCGATGAGGTATTTGTCTAAACTATCATTGTCATATAATTTAACGTCTTCAAATTGTAAGATTTGCAGCAACTTCATCAAACTGCTTGACCCTATGTTTATATATAAGAATGAAGATACTTTTAAATTTTGATAACAGGTGACAATTAAAAATAGAGCAAAAGGCAAAATACGATCTCGTCCTTGGATCATTCCATGTAAAATCAGTTTCGAACATTAACCTTAAAATCAAAATTTTAAAGCTTTGACGGAAATATGAGCCCTTAAAATACAATTCAAGCAACCACTTGGTTAAATCGTCCAATAGCCTCGATTTTTTCTCAAGAAAACATCTAAATCTTGAGTTGAGTTATTAAGAGAAGGATAAAAAATTGGAGAAGTTTTTTTGATATACCTAATTCTATCATAAATATATATCGAGTAATTTAAGAAACAAAATGGCACTTGAATTAAACTTTGAGCAATGACATATCGTTGGTCTCACTGCAAACCCGTTGAACCAACATTTTTAAAATTTAGACAAAAAGTGAATTTATATTGATGATATATTAAAATATAAATACTACTTGATTAATTATATAATATACATAACGATCTCATAATAAAAATAATAAACTATATTTATATACAGGGTTTCCCATTCAAAAAAGGAAAAGTAACGAAAAAGGAAAAGTCCGATTAAAAAAGGAAAAGTGCCAAACAAAAAAGAAAAAGGTTTAATCAAAAAAGGAAAATCGTAATTCTTGTCAATTCTTCTTAAATTTTTATTTATTTTTGTTATTCCTTCTTATTTTATTTCTAACTTTTTGAGATTTCTTAACTTTCGTTTTCTTACTATATCTTTTCTCAATTTATTTTTCTTCTCATTTTTGATAATTCTTTTGTCTTTTTAAAGTAATTTATAAATTTTCCGTTATTTTCACCTCTCTGCTCCATTTTTTTAACAATTCTTTACATTTTTTTCATCATTTAATATTCATTTTATGATTTTTTCTCCTTATATTGTAATCTTTTTCAGTTACATTTCTAACCTTTTCTCAAATTTTTTCTTCTAATTTTTGATAATTCTTTTTAAGAATTATATTTAATTTTTACTAATTTTTTGGCAGACAATTTTTTACATAACAAATTATTTAATTACATGCCAAATTAAATTAATCGTTTGGTTATAATGTACATTTTTAAATTCTTATTTTTAAAATTTTAATATTTATGCAAGACGCATTTATACTTTTGAGCAAGTAAGTAATTTTTGTAGCTATATTTAAGACTATATTCTTTAATTTATGAATAATTAAACGTAAAAATGAGGTGAATGTTATAGAATTTCAGTCTTTTTTGTCATTCAATCTATTTAATGAGTAAATATTTTAAAAAGAAATTTATTTTTTATTTTAAAAAATAAAATTATGAAGATATGGAAACAAGGGTAAAAAATATTAACGGTGAAACAAAAGTTCTAATAATTGACGCTTTAAAAAAGGATAGTATCAAAAAAATAGCAACATTTTTTAAAGCAAGCTATAAGACAGTGACAAATATTAAATACTCTCATCTAAAAAATGGAATAATATATAGTTTGCCCAAAGGTGGTTCACGTGCAGGCAAGAAATTAAATCAAGAACAGGAAAAATATATATTAAATTGTATAAATTTGGATTGCACTTTATCCTTAAAAATGTTATGTGAAATGATTAAAGAAAGAAATTAAGATTAAAAGAGATAAAGTTAGAAATGATATAAGGAGAAAAAATTATAAAAAGAATATTGTATGTATGATGAAAAAAAGTAAAGAATTGTTAAAAAAATGGAGCAGAGAGGTGAAGAAAAATAACGGAAAATTTATAAATTATTTTTAAAAAGACAAAAGAATTATCAAAAATAAATTGAGAAAAGATATAGTAAGAAAAATAAAGTAAAGAAATCGCAAAAAGTTAGAAATAAAATTAGAAGGAATAACAAAAATAACAGGGATGTGAAACCTTCAAAAAAAAAGGGTCTGGGTTCGGGAATAAAATTTGAAAAGACCCGGGTCCAGGTTTTGGGTTCAGGGAACATAAAAATAATGACTCAAAATAAGATTTTTTTTCCATTCATTTATTATTATACTTCAATATATACATATTCATAATTTACAAATGAAAAATTTAAAAATGAAATAATTTATATTTTAAATGTTTTATTCAATCGCACAATCATAATATCTTCTAAAATATCATCCTTGATATTTCCACATAAATTGGACAATATATATTTTACAGTTGAAAATTCACGTATACCCTTATCTAAAATAGATAGTTATCTTTATAAAATTATTTATTGTACTTGCGATGCCGGTATAGCCATGAAGATTCTAGATAAGATATATAATTCTGGATATATTGAAGAATTTTCTTCCCAGAATTTTAAAATATTTATATCCTAACTTCTGAGAACTTAACTATTAAGGATGCAATAGGCATGATCCTCCTTTCTATCTGATGATAATTTGATTTTTTTTCATCTAAAAGTAAAATTTTAAGAACATCAATGTTGCTATCATTATTATTATCACTACTACCAGTAGGTATTGTCGTAGCCTCCAATATACTGTAAATAATGGAGTTTTGAATATGCCATAAATCCTTAAGAGGGTCTTTAGCCATTTGTTTTTGCTCAATCCTCAATAAAACTTGATATCGAGGGTCTAAATATATATACAACACTATTTTGCAAATATTGTTGCTCTCGACATGTTTTCTAATATATTGTATAAAAAGGACTGTAAATTTTTCTAAATCTAATCGGCATCTAATCCATATGTCATAAAAATAGTAATTTTAATATTGTTATTTTTAAAGGAACTAATATACTAGTAAAATCCTTTATTTGGCACCAATCATCTTCCGATAATGACTTCACATACTCCTATAAATCATTACGAAATCTTTCAAACTTAATAATCGTTATAGCATCATACAAATTGAGGGCCAACGTGTTGTGCATTATCATTTAAATTAAAATATTATTATACAATTCACTTTAAAAATAATCAACGTATTTCTATAACATAGCATATTAAAAAATTTACATAATAAAATATTACCTGCACTAATGATATCAATCTCTAAATAAAATGGTAGTCCAGGAAAAAAACTGAAAGAAAAACGCGAAGATAAAATAAATGATTCCACAAAAAAGTTAAAAATTTAAAAATATTTTTATTATTTCTTAAAAAAATATTTTTATTATTTCTTAAAAAAATATTTTTATTATTTCTTAAAAAAATATTTTTATTATTTCTTAAAAAAATATTTTTATTATTTCTTAAAAAAATATTTTTATTATTTTTTAAAAAAATATTTTTATTATTTTTTAAAAAAATATTTTTATTTTTAAAATTTTTTATGACACCTATAATTCTTGGAACCTCACTTTTAAAAAGGGTCCAGGTTCAGAAGGGTTCAGGGTCTGGATTCGGGTTCACATCCCTGAAAAATAAATAAAAATTTAAATTATTATTTCCCGTTTTTGACTGAGATTTTTCCTTTTTTGATTAGACCTTTTCGTTTTTTGTTTGACACTTTCCTTTTTTGATCGGACCTTTTCCTAAACCTTTAGACTTTTCCTTTTTTGATTGACACTTTTCCTTTTTTGTTTAAGCCTTTTCCTTTTTTGATTGAACCTTTTCCTCTTTTGTTTTGGACTTTTCCTTATTTGAATGGGAAACCCTGTATCAAAAACAATTACAAACATAATAAATTATAATAAATTAAATAACAATACTTATTATTTAACTGTGAATAAATTAATTACATTCAAAAATAAGATATAAAGCTATTTATAATAAACTTTAATACTTTAGAAACAGAATTATTGCATAAGACTTTTACATGCTTGCAAGAAAAGAGACTGACTTATAAAAAATAAAATAATAGACTAGGTGCTTTTAATATTGGACTAAAACATTTATTTTATATTAGCTTTTGATCTTTTATGAAATGATATAAATTATATTTATAAATCCATAAATGGAAAAAAACTCATTTTGAAAATTTTGTTGTTAAGGGGTGTTGCAGTGAAACCACAATATAATATTTGCCTAAACTCATGATTCATTTCTTAAAATGAATTTTGAATTGTACAAATTAGTTAGTAACACGCAAATAAATAAATTATTTATATGGGAAACCAACGTATCTCGCTATTGTATAGATATTTGAATAAATGATCAGTCTAGACAGTATTATATTTATTTGACTTTGTGTTTTAGGTATATATGGCATGGAATGACCCAGTGCTCTTGCATAATACAAATATATTCTGATTTCAAGTTATCAAACTATTTTAAAAAAAGATCAATAATTTTTTAGAAAACAAAGTAAATATTATTTAATATCAGTTCTTCATTATTTTTTCCACTATTAAAAAGATTTAAAAAATTTATAAATCTTTTACGAAACTATATCATTTTAAAATAAATTAATATATAATAGAGGTAAGCATAATAAACTGCAAATTTTATCTATTAAATCATATATACCATCCGTAATCGTCTCTTTAAATAATGCCCTAGTGTATTTTAATAAATATGAAGGTAGTAATTGGGTTAGGCATTGATTAATTTCCACGGAAAAGTATTTTAAGAAGAACGCCAATCGAATATAAATTCCAGCTAAATCAATTGAAAAAAATTATTTATTGATAAAGGAAATAAAATTTGGGTGGATATAATAAACTTAACACATTGTATTTACTTATATAATTAATTAAAGGGTCATTCCATGACAAATCAACCACGATTCGGCCGACCCCCTTCGATTTTTTTAAAATTTGGTAAGAAAAGAAAGGTCAATGTAACTAAGAAATAGCCAAAATTTTAGCCTCCTAACTATTATATTTTTGAAGATATTAGGGTTCAAAGTGGCAAAAATGACGTATTTTTACCATTATCTGCCTTCATTCAATTAAGCATATCTTAAAAACTGCATAATTGTAAATAACAAATTTAATATCAAAATTACGTACAAAGATTCTACTTTTAGATAAAAAATTGGTCTGGGACGCGGCCATCTTCATTCTCAAAATCGATAAAAATGTTTAGAAAAGTGTATAAATATTTTCCCGAAAGGGGGCGTCTTTGTATAAAATTATATATTAATCAGTTTTTAATGGTTTTTCTTGGACTATTTGATATAATTTAAAGGATTATTTATCTTGTAAGTGAAAATAACAATAAATGGGGCTTTCATTCAATTATAGAAATTGTCTATCGATAAAAGAAATTCAATTTATTACTTTATTATAAAAAATTTTGCCCATATAACATATATTTAATGAATATTAATAAAATATATTCAACCAAGTTTATAGTTCTTGAATATATGAATCAGAATCTTGTTCATTTCATAGACGCCAAAAATAATATCAAAATTTTCTCTACTCAATTTTTTAAAATAATTTGATATTTTTAAAATATTACAAATATTAATTTATTATTATTATGAAATTATATACAAAATAAAAGTATTATCATAAAATTACCCAAAACAATATAAATATTGGATCGGATTTTCTAAAATCGGCATAGCCTTACTAAATTAGAATAACAATAAATAAGTGTTTCAATCAATAAAATAAATAAAAATTTTAAAATTGATTAACCCATTCGCGTCCAGCGAGATCATTTGTCATTAAAATTTTTAATCAATTAATTTTTATATTTAAAGAAACTAATGGTTGGTACTTAGAGATATTAATTTATAAAACAATATTTATTATTTCATATTTTATCATTAACCTGTCAAAATCATTATTTTATTATATCAAAATGTCAAAATGATTATTTTATTAAAGTACAAGTATTTTTTGTTCATATGAAATATTTCGGGCGCGAAAGGGTTTTAATCATTCAATAACACATGCTCACTATATTAATTCATTTTTTAATAAATTTCTTGGTATTTTGATTTCTATCAACACCTAACCCCAAGCCTGGAAAAACTATAGACGAATATACAGTTAAAATTGTACAAGAATTTTATTGTATGGACGAAATAAGCAGAATCATGCCAGGCAAGAAAGATTGCGTTTCGATTTTGACCAAAGACGGAAAAAAGAATACCATACATAAGAGATTAATTTTAGATAATTTGAAAAAAATTTATATATTTTTTAAAGAAATGAGGCCTGATGTTAAAATTGGTTTTTCGAAATTCACAAGCATTCGCCCAAAAATTGTATACTCGTTGAAGGTAGTGGTACACATGTATGTGATTGCAGCTACCACCAAAATTTAAATTAATGATCATTGGATCAAATTTAACCAATGATATGTTGCCCTTTAAAACATATAAACATATTTTACACTTAATAATTTGTAATTCGCCTCAACCATCCAGTTATATGGGCAAATGTGATAATTGTTTAGGGTCAACACATTTACGATATCAAATAGAAATATTGTTTCGTTCTAAGGACATCGAATTTATAACATACAAACAATGGCTATCCGTAGATAGAACCACTCTTGAAACAATAACCAAACCAGTAGGTGAATTTATCAGTGCCTTTTTTAAAAAAATGGAATCTTTATCATTTTTTTATTTCAACGCAACAATCGTTGTATCAAAACAATCTAAAATTGAACTTAGACGAAGATCAATATTTAATTTTGTGATTTTTAAGAAAACTATAGCTTTATACTTTAGGATGAAGTACAAAATTATCATTGGAATAGGGCTCAATCCACTGTTCACCCTTTTGTTATATATTATAAAGATAATTTTGCCAATATTTGTTGCCTAAATTATGTAATGATATCCGAATCTTTGCAACACAATACAATAGCAGTACATTATTTTAAAAAAACATTGCTAAATTTTTTAATTAATAAAATTTTTTATTTTCCGGTGGATCCACTGCACAGTATAAAAATCGTAAAAATTTTATTAATATTTGCCATCATGAGATGGATTTCGGGGTACAGGCGAAATGGCATTTTTCTGCTACAGCACACGGGAAAAGTGTTTGTGATGGGATTGGTGGCACTGTTAAAAGATTAGCCGTTAGAGCTAGTTTAGCCTTACTCATAGTACACATCATATGAATTGTACGAGTTAGCTAAAGAAAATATTAATGTCATATATTTTGAATAGATGACTAAAATAAATTATGATTACGAAGATCTATTACTCAGGGAAAGATTTTCAAAAACTAGATCTATACCTGGAACACACAAAATACACACCTTTATTCCAACAGATCTACATAATTTAAAAGTAAAATGTATTCCAATTCAATAGAAAGTACTTTAGAATAGTTATCATATAATGATGAAAGTATAATTATTGAAAAAATATCAGGATACCTAACGTATCCTTATGATTCTAATTGGTGGTTAGCTTTGTTTTAGTGAAAAATCAAAAGCAGGAAGTATGGACCTTCTAATTCCTTTACATTTCCAAGTATAGACGACACTCTTTGCTTGCCCAAATGTCATATCTTAAAATTAGTTTCACTGTTAAATGCTACTGGCCGTAGTTATACTATACATTGTCGTCACAAGAAAGTAAATGCGCTACCGAAAAATTAGAATCTTTTAAAAGTGAGTTTAAATTTAAATTATATCAATTTTTTTAATATTTAGGGCGCCATATATGAAATGCACAAGATTCTGATTCATATATTCAAGAACTCGAAACTTAATTGAACATATTTTATTAATATTTATTAAATATATGTTATATGGGCAAAAATTTTTATAATAAATTATAAATAAAGTAAAAATTGAATTTCTTTTATCGATAGACAATTTCTATAATTGAATGAAAGCCCCATTTATTGTTATTTTCACTTACAAGATGAATAATCTTTTAAATTATATCAAATAGTCCAAGAAAAACCATTAAAAACTGATTAATATATAATTTTATACAAAGACGCCCCCTTTCGGGAAAATATTTATACACTTTTCTAAACCTTTATATCGATTTTGAGAATGAAGATGGCCGCGTCCCAGACCAATTTTTTTTTATAAATATAAAGGAAGAGTTTAATAATGTCTACTAAATTTTTTAAAAAAATTGAAGGTCGTATTATTTCCAAAAAATCGTTTTTAGTCCTTATATATTAAATAAAATGACCGGAAATTGGAAAAAAAAATAAAATTTTTTTTTATCTAAAAGTAGAATCTTTGTACGTAATTTTGATATTAAATTTGTTATTTACAATTATGTAGTTTTTAAGATATGCTTAATTGAATGAAGGCAGATAATGGTAAAAATACGTCATTTTTGCCACTTTGAACCCTAATATCTTCAAAAATATAAATGTTAGGAGGCTAAAATTTTGGCTATTTCTTAATTACATTGACCTTTCTTTGCTTGCCAAATTTTAAAAAAATCAAAGGGGGTCGGCCGAAAATCTCATTTTTTTGCTCATTTGACGTGGAATGACCCTAAAGTTAATTACCCCCCACCAAACATTTAGAATTTAAAAAATATATAAATGGCCAAAAATGAAACTAAATATCAAACAATTAAAATATATAGGATCAGTGTTAAATTTCTTTCAAATAAAATAGCTCATGAAAATCTATCCAGCTACTTTTTAAGCTACTTTAAATTTTTTAAATAATCAGCCCTGCACGGCTGTCCGAAGCCCGACTCGAGCATCGGACGTTTAACACTTTTCTCAGGTATGACATCAAATATCCTCAATAATCAATTGGTTACATCGAAATGTAAATCAGAATCACATGTCATTTTCATCTAACGCATTTCTCTTATTCATTTATGTAATTTCCATATCCCTAATTAACATTTTCCTGTGATCGTGATTTAATAAAACTTTATTACTTACATATACATCATATTCTATTAGGTTAAAATAAAATAAATATTATATTCTATATTTAGTCAATAAAAAATCTAGAATATTAATATGTTATAACAGTTATGAAATATTTCCATTTGATAATTTATTTTATCTAATCCTAAGATTTTTATATTTATAAAATTGTTTATAGAGTGGAACCAAATTTAAAAATAATTTATAAAAAAATTAGAACTCAAGAATTTAATACCAAAGAAAATACAAATAGAAAATCTGAAGTTTGGAAGAAATTCCTACTTATATTTAATAAACAGCAGGGTGAAAAATTTTCGTCAGACTCGGGTCGCGCTGACAAAAATTTGTGATCAGATCAGGCTCGGGCATAAAAAAATTTAAATTTTGGTTGGGCTAGGGCTACAAAAAAGTGTTCCATACCTATTTTTCCTAAATTGGAGAGCATTTATTAAAATTTACCTAAGATAATTTTAATAGGAAAATACATATAAGCCATTAGTAAGATTAAGTTCTCTTTATATGCCTAATATCGAATATGTTAAATATTATCAATTAACAAGTTAAGATCACATTGAATCACTCTTTAGCTTTTTATATTTTCGACGTCTGTTAAATTTACAAAATTTTAATGCAAAATTTATAAAACCAAAATGGGCTCATAATATCTTTAAACTGCAAAGTAATAAAGGTAATAAGTATGTAAAGTTTAATATTTTGGTTATGGTTAAACTTTACAATAGGGATAAATTAATAGCAATAAATATAAGATTCACTTTTTGCCAATCATATATTCTGTAATTTATTTAGTGTTTTTTTTTTAAATTACACGTCTTTAAGTTTTTTAAGGTAATTTCTTTTATATTAATCCAACAGATGCAATTTAAGATATTCATAAAATATATTAAAACCTGTTAAATATATAGGGTCAAAATCTTTCGGTTGGTCATCATTAGGTATGGATATAGATTCTTTTAAAAATGATAATGTACTATACAAATCCTGCAATTTAATCAAATGTAATGTATAATGATTTTGCCAAGCCAATGTTTCAGTTTCTCCAGAATTCTCATATGAATTATCAGAAATTTCAAACTTAATTTTGTGATTGAGATCCCGAGTTCTTAGGTAGGTTAAAAATTTAATGTATGTATTTGGTTGCAAAGCTAATTTATGTAACAACGCGTAAAGTAGAGAGGAAAAATGGGAATTTATAATTGATTCTTTCCCAAATGAAGTGGTTATTCCATTCAATGATGGAATGGTCAAAAGCCAAGGTGATGAATCGGCCAAATCTAATAACGCATCTAAACAAGTCCGAGGTTTGACTATAAGTATTTTTATTTAAATTCGGACATAATTATATTTAAATATATGAAAACTAATATGTTTTGAATATGCTCAATGTTTTTACTTAAGCCGTTGGTAAGGGAATAAAATTGTCTGATAATGAAAATAAATAACAATGTTGTATTTAAAGTTATATGTCTTATAAATAGTGATAGAATGTGTAAGTTCTTTTTTCAATTGCAAACAGAATTGAGAACCCAAACCTTTTAACTATTAGTGATGAGGTTCCATTTAAGCTCGCTGCATCCATTCAACAGAAAATGAGCCAAAGTCGATATACACCAAATTAATTTAATGAACTCACGGATTTTACTTGCTCAGAATATTGCAGTGTTTAATTTTACAATTATAAAAACATTTTTTAAAATAATTTAAGCATAATTTATATTAATATACTCCCATTTCAAAGAAAACTTAAAAAAATATTTCACTTACTAGTAATGAAAGAGTTTGGGCTCTCAGTCCTGTTTGGATTCTAATTTCAATTCTTAAATTTGACCTAATTCTTAGTGTTCAAGACTTTAATTCCAAACCCTGTTAAAACAATCAAGAAAATTTAAAACAATAAAAAATCTATCTAAAATGATTCACAAAAGACTTAAAATATATAAAAAACTTGAACTTTTGCTAAAACCGGTTCTGGGACCGGTTTCTGGACATTTTAAAATGGATTTCGTTTTCAATAAATTTTAAATAAGTTATAGGTTATGATTTCATACTCTGACTTTAAATAAAATTCGTTGTAATAACGTGTTAATCATGACATGATTAAAATTATAATTGGAAAATAATCAACAAAAAGGCATTTTACCTTGATAAATAAACAAAGATTCCATGTTCAGAGAGCTGTTTTGAAAATCTCCGATTCCTAATAAAAACAGTGCAAATTTACTGAGTGGCTTGTCGCGAATTATATCATCTTGCCCAGAAAGTAGCAATTTAATTAGGATTATTGGGATAATAAGGCACTTGTCCCTTATATTTTCGCCTAATTTTGAATAAATAATATATAATTCAAATTAAAAAAATATATATTTTAGGCTAATTTTATTTTAAAAGAATTGAATATTTAATGTATCAAATAAGGAAAATATAGATAAACAATGATTTAAATAATTAGAATAATTGAATTTTTAAATATCAATAAAAATATAATTTTAATTATATAAAAATAAAATAATTAATTTTTATTATTTTCAAATTATTCCCAAGCAATTTTTTTAGAATTTATATAGCTTTAGTTACGTGTGCACCTTAGTTATATAAAATTTTACCCAAATACCAAGGGGTCTCGCGAAAATCTGGTTTTTTTTATCGATTTGACATAACTAATAAATTAATAAATCAATAATACAAAACCTAAAATTAATTTGGAAGCACTTTATCGCTTAGATTCTGAAAATCGGAAGTTGGAGTGGCTTTGGTATATATGCCCTCGCTTAAAATTGATAGGCATAAACCTTGTGATGAAGATAGATTATTTTAAATTTTCCTTTATATATATTCTATGAGTTATTTTATAGACTCCTAGAGGAAGTGATCTTTATGAGGTTAAAGGAAATCGGTCTAATCATAGTTGAATAGATGTTAAATTTTTAAATGTTTTTTCCTTGAATAAGAAAAATGTACTACATTCATGGTACTCATTTCTTATAATAAAAATCTTAAAATTCCGTTCAAAATAAATTAGTTAAAAAGTGTTTTTTCTTCCCCGTGGAATAAAAAATAATGACAAGGCAAGCTTCTTTTCTTACTTCATTCAAAATTACTTTCTTATAAAGCAAAATTTAACTCAGTTCAAAACAGAGTAGTTAAAAATTTTTGTATATTTTTTTCCTTGTGAAGTAAAAAAATAAGACAATTATTCTAGCATATTTTGTAATTATAATGGAATAGACAGTATCTTTGATTTTAGGCAACATTCAATTTTAATGGGTAGTAAAAGATTTTGTAAGAATTTTAAATTTTTTGGTTGGCATATTTTTGTGATCATAATCAATATTTTTTGGTAGGAGGTATTATATTCCTTGTCATTTGTCAGTAATAAATATAAATAAAAAATGGGCAATATGATTATTAAAAATATTTTCAAAAAAATAATTACAAAGTTTAAAATTTTATCATTCCCGCGAGGAATCTTATTTTTTTTAAAATAGTCAAAAAATCGGGTATTTTTTAAATAAAAATTGGATTTTATATTTTAAGGATTTTCCAAATTTAAGAAAATTATACAATTTGAAAAGATAATTATTATAAAATACAAAAATGATTTTTGTTGTACGGTTATAAGATTAGTTACGGATAATACATAAAACATGTTGAAGATAAAGGATACTATTACATAAATTCTGACTTAGGATTGTAAGTCATAGATGCCCGTCTCCTATATTTAATCAACTGTAATGATTTCGAGATAAAAAAATGTAGATATCAAATAGCGAGGGTTGATAGAACACACTAAAAGTTCGTCCAAAGTAATGTTTTAAAATGGCTCGTTTTGAGTCGATTTTTAAAAACGGCTAACTCAATATTTCATCCATAAAAATATTAGGCAAGCCTAAAGATTTTGTTCATAGAAGGAACAAAGGTCTAAACTATATTATCGAAATCTCGGGACTTTAGCAATATTTTTCTGGATAAAAATCGATTCAAAACGAGCCGTTTAACAACACTGTTCAAAAGTAAAAGAATATATATTTATCCAAAAAATTTCTGCCGAAAAATTATCTTTTAGCCTATATTAAATAATGTCAATTTTGAGTGGTGGATTTCTAAAAAAAATTTTTGTTGATAATGAAGAAATAATTCCTATTTTTAATTAACTCTTTGGTGTAGTATATTTTAGCTTCTGTAGAAAGAATAGTTTCCATGTTGCCCTAGTCCAATTTAGAAACAGGCTCAGACTAGATACTAGTTTTTTTAAATTGATTTTTTCTAGTATTTTTTTATATGCGCTATATTTTTCAGAGACTAAAGGGCCGAGCCCTATTTTATTTTTTAATTATACCCGGGCCGGGCCTAAAAAATTTTTAAAACCAAATATTATAAATCGCTATTATTAGATATATATATAAAAATTAATATAATATTTTCAAGTGGACGGGCGCAAAAAATTTTTCAAAAAAAATCCGAGCCGATAGTACCTCTGCAGGTCTCTGATATTTTTATATCGATAATTGAATTCGTTTTTTAATAAAATAAAATTTTTCTATTTGAGATTCTTTGTTAATGTTATAAATATAAGATCAAGAAACAAATATTAAGAGCCTCGATATCTAGCCAAATAATGGGAGTTTGGCCCTCTTTTGACAAAATCTCAAGGTTTAGACAAAATTTGTTTTAGCCGTTTTTTTAAATCCGCAAATTGAGGGTATTAGTGTGTTGTTAAACGGCTTGTTTTGAGTCGATATTTAAAAACGGCTAACTCAATATTTCATCAAGGAAAATATTACGCAAACCTGAAGATTTTGTTCATAGAAGGAACAAAGGTCAAGACATATATTATCGGAATTTCGAGACTTAAGCAATATTTTTCAAGCTAAAATATTAAGTTAGCGTAAAATCGGCTCAGAACGAGCCGTTTAACAATAGTTATAAGAATACTAATCAAATTTGATGAAATAAAATTAGTATTATAAAAAATTTAGGCATAAGACCATTAAATCTTCATTTAATAAACTACTAAAAAATGTTGGATTGTTGAAAAATTATGTATATCTTCTGAATATGATGATTTTATAACAGAATCTGAAATAAGATAAGGCTCATTATAAAAAATTCTCTGAACTCCACGTGAACGCAACATATAAAAATATAAGACAGGGATTCCGATTGATGGTTAACAATTTTAATAGACATTTCCATTATTTAAGAATATAATATGAATATATTTATAGCTTTGAATAAAGGTGTGCATGGATAGTCTTTGTATTAATATCAAATATCTAAACAAGTCTTAGATTTGATGTATTAATATCAGATTCTACTAAAGTCGTGGGTACAATCTTTTATTTGGTAATAAATCTATTGTAATCAGAGATTCACCGTGAATACTTATTTGTTGAATTTAAGTAAATTAGTAGAATTAAAATTATTTTTATAAAACAAGCACTGTGCCATTATAAATAGGATTTAACAAAAATCTTCAAATGAGCTTTGAAATTTTTTTCAAATTTTGAGCATGCTCAAGGAATATTTTTGAGGTTTTTTGTAAACAAATCTTCTATGATTTTGAGCAATTCGGGATTTTATAATATAAAAATCTTTTGTGATGAAATCTTTTTCTTTATTCATTTAATGATTTTTTTATATTTAGATTTAAAAAAAAATAAAATTAATTTCCTAGATGTTTTTTATTATAAAGGAGACCTGGGTATTGGTATTTTGAATAAAGATTTGTTGCTCAAAAAATTTTTTCCCAAAAGAGCGTCTTTGAAGATTTTCGAATTTTGAGAAAATGTTAAACCCTGATTAAAATTGATAAAATTTCTATAATTTATGAAAAAATTTCGTGTTTAATATGGCATAGCAATTAATAAAAGCGTATATTTTTTTGGCAATATATACTTATAGAAATATCATAACACAATCCCATGAAATTATATACAGCACATGATGGAAAGAGGCTTGTAGTATCGTGGCATGCTTTATTTTGACCGGTTTTATAGATGTCCAAAAATTTGTAATAGGAATCAAATATTTGAGAAAATCCAAAAACAATCATTTTTTGAGATTTGTCCTTTTGATCCCCACTTTGTGTGATGAGTGAATCAATACAATGAGCTAATTTATTGGCGTCAATAAATGTTCCATTGTTTAACTGAAAATATATAAAAAATACAAAAGTTAATACCTATATTTTTAGTATTCATTAAATGAAGGGTCACCTGACAGTATGTAACCAGATAATATCTAAAGAAATCATTTCAAACAAAAGGTCCTTCCAAAATAAATTATTTTAAAAAGAATGTATAAGATGATATTTATAATATCAGAAAATTTAGTTATCAACACTTGAATTTTTAAGAAATAAAAAAATAAAAGCTAGATTTGAGATATTACTTAAATATTATGTCTATAAAAATTAGAGCGAATGCGTCAAACATCGTGGCTGAAAAATATGCTATTGATAATATTATATCAGAGACCACCAGACAAGCAAAACCCTGTCTAGATCGCCCTAATTAAGCCTGGGGTACCAAGGGCGTAAATAATATGATTTAAAAAACAAAGCAGGCCTGGGGAAAAAATAATTACACAAGGTCGGTCATTTTATTTACGACTAGGAATTAATATAAAAAATTTAAACTGTATTAACTAACGAGTTGCAAAACACATCACGGATCTTTTAAAAATTATCTCATATTCTTATAAAACCATTAGTACAATAACATCCAAATTTTAAAAAATCGAAGCGATTGGCCATAAAATTACCAAATTTCAAAAGTCAGGGCTGGCCGTGCCGAAAATTATATGGAGAAAATTTGCAAACACTGGGCTTTTGCAATTTCTTATTTATATTTGGTGTATTTGAAGAATGAATGCAAGAGATCAAACTAGGCCCACAAAAATTATACGAATCAATATTTTATATTATTTATACTAATCGGTAATCAAAAGTGAAAAAATGGATTATCTAATTTAAAAAAAAAGATCAGTGGATTGGAAAAGGTAATAAAGAAAAAGTTCACACGATACATACTGAAAATTTAAAATAAATAATACAAATAGTTTCGAATAATCCTAAATAATAATGAGATTATGATTAGATGATTAATTTTTTTTATTATTTATATATGAATGAATAAATAATGATCTGTCTTAGACCTATAAAGCTATATAATCGCTATAAATTTAAAATTGATGTTTATAAATAAATATTTATCTTTGAAAGCCATTTTGTGCTCAGAACATTCTGTTTTATCACTAATTGAATATATAAAATATTAATAATGTTATAACCCGATAATATGGTAAAAAATAGAATTGTTATTTAATTTACCGATTTCAGAATATATAGAGAGAGCAGTGATTGCTCAATATTTTTACTCGATTCTGGGGCATTGAAATAACTTTCACATATAAATCGTATAAATAATTCTAAATGTGGAAATATCAAGAGGTCTCTCAAGTCATTGATATTGGACGATGTAAAAGAAGAACTATGTGAAGTAGAATGTGATTCAAATTTGATATTTTTATATTGTTGCATATCCAAAATATCCCTCAACCCATTAACTTTATGATTATTTAAATTGAGTATTAATTTAAGAGCTGGAACACAACATTTCTTCAGAATCCAACTGTTTTCTGTGTCATATTGGTTTGCATTATTATCATTTATTTCTTCATTTATAATACTGACGCCTTGTTTAAGGATATAATATATCTATAGAAAGAAAGTAATTATTTATATAGAATAATAAAAAATAGAATAAAATATAAAAATTTGCAAAGATTTAATTTATTTGAGTAAAATAAAAATTTGTATAAAAAAATGCATATATATAAAAATAAACTATTTGTGATATAGGTCCTTGATTTAGAAGTTGAGCTAACAAATATTGTAAAGGATTAGTAAGATAGTACATAATGGGATCATAATATTGATCAATAACATTCAAATTTTGATTGATTCTATAATCTACACATACTTGTACGAATGAGGACAGGAATTTTAAGCATAAACCTCCTAATTTCCACTAAAAAATCCAAAAGAAATTATAAAAAATATAATGCCTATTTGTATTAACCATTCATTGGTATCATGGGGTTACAAAACTTTAATCATTTTGTTTAGTTGCCTGATTTTGCCCAAAGAATTAATTACTACCTGATATTATTCAATTTTAGGGTTTATGAAACCCCATGATGCCAAATATTAAGGATTTACAGATATTCTTTACATCGGGCTGATTATTTGATTTTTAAAATATAGGTAATAGGCCGATATTATTAAATTTTCTGATCCGATAAATGTCGTCATTTTAAAAATAAATCAGCATTGATATTAAATTTTTTTAACATTTAAGATAATATATTTATTGAGTCACGAACATTCTTATATAATTGAAGTGATAAATTTTAAAAAACGAACTAAATAATGAAAATTATCCAATGAAGGTCAACGATCCGGTCTTTTTCGAAGACCTCGGTCCAGACCAATCTTTTAATTATTTCACAGTCCTAGGGGCCTTTATTATTATTTAAGTTTGCCTTACTACTCAATTCATATAATCTTTTACTAAATTTTTATGTATATTTTATTTTATATATCTTTTCTAGGAGTTTTCGGTTTTAGGTTTCTTTTTTTTAGTTCATATTTGCAATATACTATGAAAACGAAGTTCAAAAAAAGATACTTTTAAATTAATTATTTGTATATTTATTGTATTATTAATATTTGATTTGATATTGCTAATATAAAATACTTTTATATTTAATAAAATGACAAAACAAACTTAGTTTAGGTAAAAACAAAAATATTTTTAAAATAAGAAAAAAAATAAAAGACCGGTTCTGATCTGGTCTTTTTTATATATCACGGCCTGGAGTTTTATGTTTGGGAACTGAGGTCCGGACAGTAACCTTCACTACTTTTAACCCCCTCAAATAAACTCATGTCGCACAACATATTTGGATAAGATGGTAATGTTTATTTTAATCAAAACTATAAATTTAAAAATCTCCTAATTTAGAGTTCATATTTTTATGCTGTTGCATTAATGCAACCAACAATCATTTTTAGGATGCCTGTAAAAGTTTTTATTATTTCTTAACAAATATAAGAAAGATAGAAATTGTTTAAAATGATTTTTTAGCGCTTCCCTTTATACCCACGTTCTTTAATGATTGAAAACAAGAATATAACTTGCACTTTTAAATATTTTCCCGAAATACAATATCTACAAGTCCATGTGCAGTAAGTACTATTATATTTAACTAGGTAAAATATTTTACAATTATGTAATCGAACATCCGTTTTTAATAATATATTTTCCCATGGTTAAATTATGTTATGTATATAAAAAATTACCTTTTCTAGTGGAACTTTGTAGCTTCTCGAATATAGAGGCATGAGAAAATTCTCGCAAATATATATTATATATAGGGTTATTACGTTATGAGAAATTTCAAAATCTCCCCCTATGCTTTTTATAGGATTTAAATAACGGTCTATAAAAAAAATTCTAAAATTTTGAGGATTGGACATAGTTGACGCGAAAAATTCGTTAAGAAAATTCAAAAATGATATGCTTAATGGATACTCTTCTAAATTACAACTTTCGACTTCATCTAGTATTGTCTTAATTTTTAAATTCAATATAATTATAAATGTAAATATATCGCTAACTTTAAAGTAAAAATGAAATTTTGGACTCGAAACATTGGTGGATGTTAGTGTGTTCATCAAGAGCTAAAATTAAATATTTAAAATTTTGATTAAAATAGCAATCAAAGTAAAATTTATATAAAGTATTTACTTGAATTATATAATAGTTTTACAAAATTAAAAAGGATCGATCATTATAAAAAAAAAGTGTGCTTAAGAGATGAATAGATGTATGTAATGATGCATAATCGCTCCATTTGAGCTGATTTTTAAAAACGGCAAACTCAATATTTAACCAAAAAATATTGCCTAAGCCTCAGATTTCGCCAATATATGTCCAAGTCATCTATGAGCAAAATCTCCAGGTTTGAGTAATATTTTTCTAGATATAATTGTGAGTTAGACGTTTTTAAAAATCGACTCAAATGGAATGATTTTGCAACACTAGATGTATGCATTAGAAAAAAACGATTAGTTGTTTACAGAATACAAAATTAGATATGATATCGGATCGGTTATCGGCCGATAACAATTTGGTATTAGCTAAATAGAACTAAAACTAGATCAAAAATTTTATTAAATAAAGATTGTCAAGTTTTACAATAACTAGGATTGATATTAATTAGTAACATTTCATGTAAGACAAATGAGTACATTTTGAAATTTAAATCTTATAAACTGAATAATATAGAATGTTGTTAAAGTAAATTCTAAATTTAGCTATTGTATTAAGATAGCTAAAGTCGCAATGTATACTTTTTAGATAAAAGGTAGCTATAATATCTTCGTTACTAGCCGTATCTAGATTTTCCATCCGAGTCGGATCTATTTTTATTCCAGTATACGGCAGTCAGAGGTTATTAATAAAGATTGGTTCACGTTCCAGTTTACAGCACCCCATTTCTACGTCCTTTTTTCTTAAAAATCTCAAAAAAAATATATTAATACGTTTAGACGGGTTCAGACCAGGTTTTTTGTTGATTTAATCCAATGTTTTGATAGTGGTTTTATTGACCCTTCACTAAAATCATTAAACGAACTTTGTAATAACTTCCTCATACGCGAAGTTCCTTTTTGTATACGTCCTATTCTTTTTGGTGCAAATCTTGTTTCTTTAACCAAATAGGATGGCGGTATTAGACCAATAGCTATAGGGTCATTTTTTCCTGGAGTAATAGCCAAGATTATCGTAATTAGGATTCGGTCTAAGGTTAGTTTTCTTCTATTTCCCTCACAGTTAGGTTTTGGAGTTAGAGGTGGGTGAGAAGTGGCCTCACATGTAGCGCGTATTTTTATAAACACTGAGACGGATAAAGTTTTCTGCAAATTAGATTTCAGAAATGCTTTCAATAGCATTCATAGGAGCTCATTTTTACCCTCTTTCTTACAACATTTCCCCAAATATTGAAATTTCCTTAATTCCTGCTATGGATTTCCCTCGATACTCAAATTCGGGGAATATTCCCTATCCTCTGAAAGGGGGATTCAGCAAAGTGATCCTCTAGGTCCCTTACCATTTACTATAGGTATTCAGAATTTGTCAAAAAATTAAAGCCTGATTTCAAATTAGACCTTAATTAATGGTATCTCCAGATTTTAATTATTCCGCACGAATAACTCTGTCTTTTAGGATCTCCTATAGGCTTTTCAACTTCCTTTTGTCGAAATTGATTTGACAATTTGATTCAATCTCTTTTTAATTCACTAAAGAATCTTCCTTAACTTCCTAAGCATCGTTTTTTTTCCTCACCAAAAAATGTTTTAAATTAATTCTTGCACAAACCTTCCCTGGTTTTCCAATATAATTCCCTCCTTAAGTCCTTTTAAAATTTAAGTATTTTATTTTCTCCCTTTTAGTCCTAAAGTTTTCTGATTTTAATTGGTTTTTTGCCTCATGCCTGCTTAAGGGAGGACTTAAATCTTCATCACTCATTTTAACAAGGATCCGAGCACCCAGTCTCCAGTCATTTAAAGAGCTTTCTAGTTCCCATGCTTCAATATGCATTTGAAAAACTTTGTTTGTGTCTCGATCCAACTAACCTTCAACTACCCAGAAACGCAAAAAAAAATCCTAACGGCTATGAATGGCTAGATGCGATCCCGAGTGATAAAAAGGAAATGTTACTCACAAACGATAAGTTTCAAATTGGCATTGGTCATAGGCTAGGTTGTTTTATCCCGTCAGTTGACATCTGTGCTGCCTGCAATAAGCAAGTTGATCCATTTTCTAGACATTGTTTCTCTTGCCTCAAAGTCAGTGGCCGTTTTTCCCGATATGACAATCTAAATAGATTGATATGCAAATCTTTGATTTCGGCCGGTTTACCCAATAGTTTGGAGTCGATAGGTCTACTAAATGAGGTGGCAAGCGTCCCGATGGCATGTCTATAACTTCTTGGCTCGACGGCAAAAGATTTGTCTGGGATGCCTCATGTGTCACCTCATTTCCGGCTAATAGAAACAATGATCTCTTGGAACTCCAAGAAAAAAATGCAATAAATATAGTTCACTTCTAAATTCTTTAATTTTATTCCTCTGATTTTTAGTGTTTTGGGAAACCCCGGTCCCCAAAATTGGGTAGAAAAATATCAATAAGGATAGGGGTTAAAAACGAGTCCCTATCCCTCAAACAAAAAATCCAATTTGAAGTCCTAAAAAGAATTACAAGTGTTTCTTCGTAACACTCCCTTTTCCCTCTTAGTTCAATACACATGGCTAGTGTTTGCAGTAGTTCCGGTCCGACCGAAGACCGATTAAAAAAAGATAAGTTTATTATGAATTACTTTTTAGTTAATGCACAAGTTCATTAACACATAAAACATGATTATTTGCCTAACACTTTATAATATCTCATTCATCGTTTACTTTTTTTTATTCTTCCGTTTCATTCATTGGTCAAATAATTTAAATTATTAGAAATGGAAATTGAAATCATAGAAGATGATAATAATATTGAATCTCCACCCTCAGCCAAAGAATAACTATTGATTTAGAAAATAGTATTAATAGTGCAAATGAAAAAAAAATTCTGGGAAAACATGTAGAATATGTCTCCAGTACAGATATTTCCAATTCTTCAAGCACAAGTAAATTTTGCATATATATCAAATTGAAAGCTCAAAATTTTAAATAGATGAATAAAAACTTCATCAAATAAACCTACTTATAGTTATGATTAGAGCTGTAAACAATAAAAACCCAATATCTATCACATTCAAAAACAAAAACTAATTAAATATGCTAATCAAATTGATTTAAATTATATTCATTAAATTTGTATTGGTTTAATCTTTTTGTATAAAAAATATAATAAAAATAATTTATGGATATAATTAAAATATTGGTAATTCAACACATTTCATTTTTAATAAATTTCATGCAGAATAAAACTTTTATAGCTTAACAAAAAAATATTTTTTTAGATGGGACCGGACTGGATCGACGGTCCCACGGTATGGTTTCACTTGACTTAGCGGTCCATCGGTCCGGTCTCGGTTTAAAAAGGGACCGAACCGGACGGGACTGAAGCAAACATTTTACATGATATATTTTTATTATTTTTCCCCTACATTATTAGCTTAAACTTAAATATTTCATATTTAGATTATTTTTGATAATTACAACTATGTTATCATTTAAAATTATTATTTGTTTTTTAAAATATATTTTATTTTGATATCGTATTTCTAAAATTTATATACAGCGTTTATATATGGGAAGGTGGGGAAGGGGGGGGGGAGTGTGGGAGGATTTTGCTTGCTAATATTTAAAAAAAATTTTTTTAAATAATTCTTAGTTCCGATTATTTTAGGTTAGGAGAAGTTTGCCTACAAATTTAAAATTTTTTTTAGTTCCGACTATTATTAGAATGTATATATAATATGATTCCTTCCATAAAAATTTAATATTATTTCCTCTTTTTAAAATAACAAAAAATCCTAAAAACAATAAGCTCCCTGAGGCCACTTCCAAACATGACGTTTTCCAAAACATTTTCCGAGGCACGTTTTTCGCAATTTTTTTTACTTTCAAACAAGCAACGATTATTATACAGCTGATTTTTTATACAAATGAATCTTATAACAAGATATTTTATATTGAGACATTACAAAAAAAACGAAAAGTAAGTATAATCTATAAAGAAAGAGATCTGTACTATATAAGATCTATATCAATTTAAATGAATCCCATAATTGAAAATAAAATGTGCATTGAATGCACATTTGGCACAGCTACTGCTAAATTTGCCATTCTTTCCAAAGCTATAGCGTGCTCAGTTGAAAATGCTGATAAAATAATATGTGCAATTACTCTATTACATAATATTATTATTGATTATGATAAAATTGAATACACACCTAATATTATACCTATTCCTGAAAATTAAGGGATCAGTATATTTTTAAATGCAACAAGTACTAATTCAATAAAAATAAGAGATTTATTTAAAGACTATTTTAATTCTTAAATTTCTGTATAACTTAACATTTCATACCATTATATATTAAACAAACATTATTTATTTTAACTTGAGCTTATAATATAAAACTATTTAATTTCATCAACATTTTGTATTACAATATTATTTATATTAAAATAATTTTAAAGACTATTTTATGGATTTATGTATAACTTAACATTTTATACCATTATATATTAAATAAATATATCTATTTATTTTAACTTGAGCTTATAATATAAAACTATTTAATTTCATCAACATTTTGTATTACAATATTTATAAAATTATGAATGATAGTTTGAACATTTATTTTCATTGCATCTTTAATTTCACTTGGCGCCTTCTTTACACTATCTACTAAAGACAATAGACAAGCACCATATTCTATCTGGATCATTGTCAATTTCCAACACTTTATCAAAATATTTTACCCTAACCCTTTTTACAGGTCTTATATTCTCATTATTATCTGTGATATTGTTTAACGTTTTTTAGGGTGTTGTGGAGGTAGTAAGAAATGATAGAGAATCATACTATTTCCATGGAGTGCTAATTTAGTGGCATCCCCTGAATGTATTTTCTTTCTCTTTTCCTTTAAAAAAAATCTTTCAAATTTTTCCAT